ACATCATGAGACATTCCAGGGCACAGTTTCTGTTGCACTTTGTAGACCCACTGCTTATCAATTTTCTAAGAAATAAAAGCAAGTGCAAGTCTTGTACTCTTCAGAGCAGCACAGCACAAGTAAGGTTTAGTGACATAGTTCAGACGGCAGCAACTTGCTTTCCATTCCAGAACGGCCACATTCACCTGAAATACCCCAATCTCAGTTGCTCCTTCACTTTCATTGCTTCAAGAATTTGAAATACCTTTTCTTTTGCCATTCAAGATTAATAAGCATCGTGAATAAAGTGTCAAAAACATATCACCCACACCCCTATTCATTTTCTAGATATTTTGTTAAAACTGCACTATAAAGCTTGCAGTAATCCAAGACAGGACACACATTCTGCAGCTTTAGAAAACCCAGTGTTAAATCCTTGTTTTCTGGGTATTTCACATGAGCCACGCAGGAGGAGAGCAGAGGTGACAGAAGCTTAGTTATGCATTTCTCTGTAAGAAAGTAGAGCTGCTTCCCAAGCATCCCACTGCAACTACGTGAATGAACTATAAACCTGCTGGAGTGGCATTACAGCATTAAAAATTGATGTTTAAAGTATTACCATAGAATCACAGAAAGGTTGAGGTTGGAAGGGACCTTAAAGACCGTCTAGTTCCAACCTCCCCGCCATGGGCTGGGACACCTTCCACTAGACCAGGTTGCTCAAGTATTACCAGCAACAGGTGGTAAAACTAGTCAGAAACACTTAAAAATAATTCCTAAGTGGCATAATAATATTTAGCATGTCTCTCAGTCCCGCAGACACCAGAGCAGCTGTCAAACGCAGAATGCTAGAAAGCGATGCAGGACTACCGCACAATCAGTTTTACTTGTTAACACTTCCCCGAAGTGAGGTTATGGGAAAAAGCTTAGAAAAAGGAATTTGCAGTATAGTTTTCCCCTGCTGTAATAGCTTTCCACACCCACTGCAACTAACAACACGGGCGTCTACTCCACGGGCTCTGTTTTGAGTAAGGGAAAACAATGCCTTGACGTGGATCGGTTACCACGCACACAAAACTACCCCTGCGCACACACTGAAGACAGGCCACAAACTAGAGTAAGACATTAACAGCACTTTAAACGTATCAATTTATTGCATATGTCAGTACATAAAAATAGAAAAGGGTTTTTTGTAAAATTAATTTTATTGTAAAAACCAGACTAGAATGAGAATGTAAAACTTGGTCACAATTAGCACATATACAGCAACATTTACGCTTTGTCTACAAAACGTATACTTCAAGTCATTTTTGCTGTAACTATGTATTAAAGAAAATAAAACGCTTACATCATATATTCAATGACTGTTTCTGAATTCGAAACGTGTTATTTAGAACTTCAATATACTATCTCTATTTACACTTCTGTGGGGTTCTACTCTAAATTATACAAGCAGGATGGCACCGTAAATTATTCTTAATGGGATACATCAGGCTGATCCCACTACATGCAAGAGGCACTGATTTTATATTTGGCAGAAGTGCCCCTAACAAAATCACCTGTCACTGACAAAAATAAAAACATACTCCTCAAGAACTGAATTATGAAATACAAACGGAGGTATGTCTGCATCTTTTTGCTAAGAGACCATACCTTGGACTCTCAAGTCAGCCTTGCATTCTTCACTGTGAACATCCAACGTGACGTAAATGATTAGCTAAGAGATGCTGATACGCATATTTTCTATAAATAGTTAATCCATCTTCCCTTCAACTGAGAGATTGTCCGTAGCCTACCAAGTGTATTTGTGCTCTATTTCTAATTTCACCTGAGAAATGGGCATGAGGGCAGCTACACCAGTTAACATTTTTTTCAGATGAAAGCACAGCTTTTCTCTCTGCATTTCACAGTTCAGAACCAAACATTAGGAATGTAAACTTGGGTTAGCAGAAAGTCCCAACTACTTACACTAATTAAAACCAGACACATGTGTGCATACACAGGGTCTTATACTGGATGCTTCCTTAGAAGGACTCTCCTGCTACAGCTATTCCAGTTCAACTCCTGACTCCTCCCACCCTGCCTTTTTTTTTTTTAACTTAAGAAGTTTCTCTTATAAAAGAAACCACTCCTTGAATGAGCATATTTAAACCAAGAGGCTTTCTTACAAACACGCGAAAGTAACTCAACTCCCTTTTCCCAAACTAGAAACGTATATACAGGACAAATACCTGGGAAACATACACAGAAAACTGTTAAGGGAAAACATATAATGGTATTACGTGGAATAAATGCAACAGCATCTCAATACACCTTTTGGCAACTCAAACTTACTACTATGCTGCTTGCAGTTCACTGTCTGAAAACGGCTTCGAGCAGCAGAGAACTGTAGGTTTCCATCACACAGACCATAAAATAAAAACAAGTCTTGACTTGTCAAAACAAGCTTCTTCCCCTTTCTCCCTCCCTCAAAAGACAGCGTGTACAGCAGTGAAACATTCGCATAAAAAAGAAAGGTCATTTCCTTCCCAATTTCTTTCAGTGTATTTCATAGCCAACGCAATGACAACAGCACGGTACCAGACATTCATTCACAAGTGTGTTTGCCCAACCCATTAACGGAGAAGTAAAACCGTGCGCATGTGGGAGGTGGAAGAAACCACAGGGAGTGTAAAGGATGCATAGGACAACAGTGTGCTCTCCTATCCAGTAGATCAGGCAACATATCATCTTTATGTCCTGCAGACAGTGCAGTGGTAAGATACGGCTTGAAAAATCAAAGCCATGCTTACAGTCCACTTTGACCAGCTCCAGGCTGCCATAATCTAACCCCACACAGCTGACTTAGCAACCGCGAGCCCAAAGAATACTTCGTTTGTAGCATCGTACCGGGGGTATTCCGGGTTTGAGGTTTTTGTCTTTGATTGGCAGGAGGCAGGGTAAAAAGTCTCGTTACTTTAGAAATCGACTTTAACGAAAAAACAATGGTATTTAATAGCGAGTTACGACAACGTCTGAAACAATTATTTCTTTTCCTCTTCATTGTCTCCAACAAGTAACCTAGTCTCCTGGCTTTATCAGCCTGCTTTCAGAAAAGCAGTATTTGCCCACTTATTTTCCTTTTCTCCCTCCAACTCAATGCTAAAGCAAGGTGAAGTACCTGAAATGATCTGTGCAAACAGCTCACACTGACGTTTTAGAGTACATCAGGGAAGGGGAATGCTCTTAACTCCCTTTCGCTATATATAACATACACACCCTCTCCCCACCCAACCTTCCCCATCAGCCTCCCCACCCGCAAAAAAATACCACCACCGGCATGCTGAGGAGAGTTTTGGTTTCACTCGGATTTAGACCTATACCCTGTCTATAATGATTTTAAGTGTACAGATCCAAAAATGTCTACAGCTTTCTTTTCAACCAACTCTTAAGAAAATCTTAGTAACAGTATGAGAAGAGATACTTACCAGGGAAACAGCAACTTCTGGTATACAGATCTCTTTTTTTTAATAAGAATAATCACCTTCAAGTAAAGACGTATCGCCCTACCTATTAACTGCTGACCATGATTACCCTAGTACAACTGGTACGCAAGACCTGTAATTCTAGGTAGTACAACTGGTCCATAAGACCTGTAATTCCAGGCAGTAGGTTTTAGGAGGCATAGCCATGAAGGCACCAGTTCAGGAAAGCAGCTGTATTCAACCACAGAACTAAAGCACAAGCTTAAAATATCACTGTCCATCAGGATACAGATCTTAAGCATGCGCCGAGATGCTTTTCTGAATCGGGACATGACAGAGAGGCTTATTTAAAAATTTCCATTTGAAGGGCAAGTGTACAGATTGTGTGGAAGATCTTCCACAGCTCATTCTTCCCATTAAAAAAATATTTTGAAGAGGCAAGCTATCAACTACAGCAAATGAGAATTAAGCCTGCAGAAAAAAATTTAAACAGCCCCACTCCCACACAGACTGAGCTAACATACAGCTTTGGCATAACTACCTAGGGTGAGGACCCTTAAAAAGAAAAAAAGGCCAACCGAAGTCAGAATCAAGCTCTCTCAGTTTAAATAGCGCTGGCTCTGAAACAGGGATACTAGCTTCGAGAGTCTCAGCAGAACTAAAGAAAATTCACTTCTGCTGATGCTTAGGCTTCTTCCACGTGGTGCAACAGAACTTTAACACTTTTTGCAAGCAAAGGGGTAAAAGCATTAAAATTAGTAGACCTAAGCTTAGCCTCAAAGAGACAACTTGATATAGTGCACATCTCATTTTCATGATCCCTACTGTAAAAACCGTATACACTCATCTCTAATCATGGGATCACTGGGAATGATTTGGATTTGTTTCTTTTGGAAGTATAAATAAAGGGCACAGACATTTAGCTACACCAGCCTTAAAATCAAACACAAACTTTTACCTTGTGTGACACACTAACACACCACCCACTCCGATGTGGGAAATCCCACTTCAAACACACAAACAGACGAGGTTTGCCCTTACGTTAGTGAGAAAAGCTTGGGGTGGAAAGGAGCTCAGATTGCACTGCTCTCTTTTTGAAGGTTACTTCTATTTTCTATGAAGAAACTGCCTGGGCAAAATCCTGAAGCCATGATGTTTAGGCACATAAAACTTTCTGGGCACTATTATCATACAGACAGTAAAATGAGAACGGGGAAAGTGTCTTTTCCTCTTCATCTGCAGCCTGAAACATGTATGTATGCATCACCATAAAACCCAGCAATAACCCAGGATAGCATACCTGCAGGTATACTCAACCAGTAGTGTTATATCTTTTAGAACATTAAAGACTTCCCACCTTGCATAATATAAAGATTAAAGGAATAAAACACTAATCTCATGCACGGTACACTTAAAGAAACTCTAAGAGAAACAACAAATCATTGTGCTAACCACGACTGTCCAAAAAGCTCACACGTACAGCAGTGAACACTGAAGAGCCTCCCGTTGTTCTGCACTAATACGTTCTGTACTACTTTTGTAGCAAGATCCTTTAATAGCATCCATCGTACATATCAAACAAATGGAATATATGGACAGAGATACCAAAAAAGTATGAGAAAAAGACAAAATGGTTCATTTACAATGCTGCAAATGTAAAAGTTATCTGGAACATCTTAATAAAGCATCAGACCTTTCCAAGTTTAATTTCACTCTTTAGGCAAATACAGACATGACATACACTTAAAAATGGACATTCTTTCACCACTTTTCACGAATCGACAGTGCAGGTATTCCCCCCACCCCGAAGGAGAGTATCAATTATATTATTGTTACGTTAGATGACGTTTTCGCCATTTCTTCAGGGGAGTGACTCTTTATTACTTCTTTGATGAACTGTTCAAGTGCAGTGAAATAACCCTGGCACTGCCAAGTGTCATTATGAGTTCCATCGGGAAAAATCGCCAATCTCTTAGTCCGAGCTGGGGATAATTCATAAAGTTGCTTCATCATAACTGGTGGAATTAACTGGTCAGACAACCCAGAGATGAAGAGAGAAGGCATTCTGCACTGAGAGATTTTTCTGTAGGACAGAAATTTATTTTTGTAGCACCATAAAGGAAGATACCTCATTGGAAAGAAAGAAAACAAAGTGCTGGCCATGTATGGGATGCTAAGAAAGGTGTTCTCCACCACGATGGCAGAAATCCTATGGGAATTTTCAGAAGCTAAGTGAATAGCTACTGCTCCCCCCAAGGAACGGCCAAAAAGAAAAATTTTTGTTTTATCAAGATCGGACCGCGTCATCACATAGTCTAACACAGCCTCAGAATCTAAGTACAAACCTTCTTCACTTGCTTCTCCTTCACTTTTTCCATACCCTCTATAATCGACCAGAATCAAGTTTACTTTCAGGTTTACCAGCATTAACAAAGCATTTGGCAACCTGTGGCCAATGTTGCCTGCGTTCCCGTGAAAGTAAATGATGGTTGGAGAATAGGCTGCGTTGTCCCCCGTGTACCTCAGCAGAATGAGATTGAGAAGCACTCCATCTTTGGTTTTGATGAAGATATTTTCGTGCGGTATACCAGTGGGCATAGGAACGTAAAGGCGTGACGAAGAGGGCTGTTCAGGAAAGTAAAGCAGCACGTCCTGGAATTTATATAATATACCCGCTATTGATACAAATATTAATATAAGTAGTATAATGCCTCCGTACAAGTGAAAAGTTACTATCAAGGGTAAAAGACAAATGCGGCAGAGACTCCAAGACCAGGAAGCCAAAGCTAGTAGCCATCTTTTAACAAAGGTCCAGAGCATCCATGACTTTTCCATTGTAGAACTCAGTGATCTTTTACTCCAAGTAAAACCTGCAAAAGAAACCCAAACACATATGCATAAATACAGGGGAAAGAAAAAATGAAATGGTTTGAGCATTCATACTTGCAGAGGATCAATGGCAAGTCAATACATTAAAGCATGAACATCAAACTTGGTGGCAAACTACCTTTGAATTTTTGGAAACCATTCAACTCTATAAAGCAAGCAGAAAAGCAAACACAAGGAAACTGCTTTAGAACTCCTTAAAATCCCATTTTCGTTATTTCAGCAGGCAAGGTCCATGAGTAGCACTAGAAAATTGCTTGACTGGGACCATGAAAACTTACGCTTTCCTTCAGTCTTCCCTACCCACCCACTGAACGGCCATACAGACTGTATTGTCAGTCTGTCAAAGCTTCTCATAGGAGGAATTCTAGACTCCTGAGAACACAAACAAAACCAGCTCTTATTTCCAAGTTGCCACGGATCGAGGCCAAGAGGAGTGTTCAGTAAGCCTACATGCTTTACTTGCAACCAGTGGACACTCTCAATGCACACAGAGTCTGCTATCGCTTCGTAGCCGTGGGTCAGAATCTTGATCAACTGCGATTGCAGAGCAACACGTAAACTGGTCAAAAGAAAGACTCTTCTATAGTAAGACACCAACTTGTAGTTACATACATGACAGCTGTTTTGCTATATTTAGATTGGATCCGATTGATAGTGACAGTTTTACACTATGAGATCAGTAATCCATATCCAATCATTAGCTGAACGAAAGACTATCACCACAGAAGACCTCTGGAAACAGTCAACTAATGTTATTCTCAGATCAACAAAAAGCACAACTGCTTAAATGACCAAATATGAAAACAGACAAAAACCATACACACACCATAAAATTAAGAGAGTGATGTTCACGATGATGGAATAAATCTTCTTTCCAACCACAAAGATAGTTATGTCTTACAGCATACACTGAATCTCTCACTTTTTTCACTGCTGGGTTCAAGTGTCATATGGAAATGGGCAAACACTGTCAAATCTACATGAGAACTACAATAACCGCTCAGTTGCTACTGAGCTGAACAACCACGCTGGCTGGAAGTGACAACACAAGCTCACTTCACAGAATCACAGTGGTTTGGGCTGGAAGGGCCCTCAAAGACCATCGAGTTCCAGCCCCCCTGCCATGGGCAGGGACACCTTGTACTAGCCCAAGTTGCTCAAAGCCTCATCCAGCCTGGCCTTGAACACTTCCAAGGATGGGGGATCCACAGCTTCTCTGGGCAACCTGTTCCAGTGCCTCACCACCCTCTCCATGAAGACTTCCCTCCTGATGTCCAATCTAAATCTACCCTCGTTCAATTTAAACCCGTTATCCCTTGTCCTGTCACTACATGCATTCTTTGAGAACACAGTTATACAGCAGATAACAGTTACAGTTTAGACACACTCAAAGTTCTAACCTCCTAAAATGATGTAGTGCAATAAGAAGCTGAATTAACCCCAAAGGAGTCTGACATGCATAGATGCATCCAAGCATTCAGTTAAGTCACAGGACCCACACCAAAATAAGCTGTATGTCCTAATACTACCAGAGAGGGCTGCAACTGTGCCAGCTGTCTTGGCAGGATTGGGTGATAAAAGGTGACTGCACTCCCAGCCTTTGCACGCCAAATATCTTAAGCACCAACACGACCAGGAAAAAATGCCATCTTTATTTTATGTGACAATCAGATATAAATTAGAAATAAAAAGAAAACTCTTACATCCTAAGATTCACATTTTAACAAAATGCAGTGCAAAATTAAGCTTTTTATGTAGTGTATCGACTCCAAATAAGTAGAACTGGTGAAATATAAAGTAGTCTAGAGGGCAGTTATCCCAACGTTGTTCTTTTATATTATTTATGAACTCATGTTCAATATCCACAGCCAAGTATGCACAAACACTGTCTATATGAAAATTTAATTCCTGTGATCCATTTCTCCTGTAAAGTAGTCACAGTAATTAAGAGACACAGAGTGGGTACATTTTTTCAGTTTGTAAGAGAACTTCTTAATGAAGTTGACAAACGTTTCCTGCACTGCATTTTAGGGCTGTAAGAACAGTGACACAGTAGAAACACCTTCCTTGCCTATGTCATTCAAAATTTTGCTGACTTTCTTAGAAAATGAAAGAGACTCCAAAAACATGCTTACTCAATAAGCCATTCACAAAGAGTAGGAACCCATTTTTAAAAGCAACTACTAAAAAACAAAAGAAGTTATTAAAAAGAACCCCTCACTTAAGGTGATGAAGTTTTGCAGATGGTTATCCCATCTGCACTAAGGACTGATATTCGAAGCCTGATACAGCTGATTTTATAAGCCATGTTAGTTTCATTCACACAGAGCTTTCTATTTTCCTTTCAGTAGGACAGTATCAAAATGCTCTACTATGGAGATACCGCCATTGCGTGAGTACTTCTGAGAGAGGTGTATACGCAAGAAATTTGCTACTGGAGTTGCAAAATCAAGCCATCCTACAACTAGCACTCAACATATGGTACTCAGAAGGAAGGGTAAACTATACAGCCACAAGTGTTTCATACTCACCTACATAGTTAAGTAAAGCTGACGACTCTGCACTAATGAACAACTACACAACTATTGAAGTTTTCTTCCCAGCTAAGTGAAACTTCTAGTTCTGTCCACTTCCAGGCTCGAGTCAGACCATGTCTCTTGTTTCCCATCTTACTGCAAGATTTGTTAGGCAGAGAACTAGGATACAAGTTTCTCCTAGGTTGTTCCCTGCCTCCTTCCAATACCAATTGAGAGATCCCTAGAAAGGAAAATGATGGTTTCTCAAACAAGCACACAGGCCTAGAACAGGCTAATTTCAATACAAGTGCATTCTCAGTAAGGCTACCAAACATGTTTCTATGGAGCGCAAAGTAGCAGGCCTTACAAACATTATCTTGTTTGACCTGAACTGTGGATGACGATACGCCCAGACCCAAATTTCCACTTAAAGCACATAAAAAAAAAAAAAAGAGTAAGCTAATATAGTAGTTTTCAGAGAGTGGTACGGTGTTCCTCAGCACTTTCTGAAGTGTATGCAATTTGAGAGTGCTCAGCAAACTGCAAGACTACACACAAAAGAAAAAAAAATTAATCTCTTCTCAGTCTTCATTCCCTATTACAGTTGTGCTGGATAGGAAATTATAAACCTTTCAAACCACCTCCAGTATAACATATTATGACAGAAAAACCTCTGTGTTGAATTATGAAGAACACATGTTACGATTCTCCTATGCCCCTATATTTTGTGGCTAATAGGGAAGGAAGGGAGAACAATATATTTAGACTTTGATGTCTGAGCTGGTCACCCTGAGAAGCAGAGCAGACCTGCCACCTGGACAAGCCCATCTCCCTTTCTAGGCATGACTACAAGAACCACTCACGGACTTGCTCCATAACTCCCAGTTAAAGCAAGAAACACGTACCCCTTTAGGTCTTTTAAGGGAGAATTTTTCAATCAATTTCTGTCACCTGCAAAAAGGGCTAGGCTGTTTCCCCCTCCTACACCCCCAATAGGTGACTGTTTTACTAAATTATCTCAGTTATATCGGCTTCTGTTAGAAGTATTACAGATGGACCAAGGGAAGTCACCAGGTTGGCCATGGAAGGTCTGTTTCAGCCAAGGAAATAAGGTTTCTCTACAGATTTCCTTTTAAAATCTCCCAGATAAAATATTAACCCCTTGGAAATCATTCTTACTTCACTAAAAAAAAATTCTTTTTTTTTTTAAGGAACATTATATTACAGCACTATATTTAAAGTAATTATCATAAATTTGTCAAAGTTTTCCTGTAACAAGGAGTCACATCCCAGTTTACAGCATGCACAGCAACAGCATCTTACATAATCAGTGGTTATAAAACAAGTTACAGACTATGAAAACAAGCATAAGGGAGATTTTCTGTTCTTTAAACTTGTCATGAAAGTCAATGTCTGTGACAAGTATACAGTCACCAAAAGCAGACCCATACATTTTTATCTAGACGTTTTCCTAGGTAACTCTTACATTAATGGAAATTCCTACATAAGTTGTTCTTGCTCTTAGCTACTCTTATTACTAGAAAATATTTCCTAATACTTAAGAGGGAGACTCAGCAACTTAAATTCTTAACTTCTAGTTCAGTGTTCATTAACCTCCAAATATGTAACCTACCTTCAATTTCTCCAGACTACATAAACCCAGCCCCTCTGCTCTCTCCTCACAGGTGATGTTTTCTTAGTCACAGATATGATGACCGGTCTTTCCTCTAGCATCTGCCTGCTTCACATTTCCTCTTGCCCCTCTGATAATGCTGCATTAGAAGGGCTGGCTTTTGTGAATGCCAGTGGTTCCTACAAGTTGGTTCTTTTGGAACTTTGAGGATTCTTTTTGTTTGCTCTGCTTTTTAATGATGCTTGTAAAATTAAGAGACTAGTAGAAGACAAAATTGAAACACAAAGTTTGATCATGGAAACTGTTAAGACAGAACAGCAGCAATACGGCCCAATTCAACTGAGCCTTTGGATTAAAGACCATTAAAGACCAGTTCAGCTTACACAGCCACAGAATTGTATTGCCTCTCACAACAGAAATGAAATTTGAAGTTATGAGTTTCGTTTTTATGCCACAGGACATACACATATGTCGATACAGACACTCACGTCTGCATCTATACATCTCCACTGCTGAATCCACAGTCCAGGAATTACTGCAGACCTCTACATTCTACCAGATGAGCTACAAATCCCACAATTAAGTGGGAAAATAGCTACTGAAAATATAAATCACCCATAACAATAAAAACTCTGAGGAAAAAAATAAAGTCTTCATGATCAAGACATATAAATAATATTCTGCTGGCCCCTAATGCTATTCTTAAATAGTTAATGTCATTATCAACTGAAAGTGATAAAAACTTCAAGTAGTCAGCAACAGTTTTTCATTCATTTGGAACATCAATTGACATTACTCTTGTATTTGCCACAAATTCTGTTATTTTTTGTCTGCATTTACATTTTTAATTTTCAAGAGTGCCATTTCCACACACTAATCGCATTATAAAACATTTACCTTTGGATGTGACGATTTCCCAGGCTTCATCTCTGCCTGAAAGACAATTCCATTTATGAACTTTGAGTAAAATTGCTTTTGAATTACACGTATAATCAGTGTTTGTCTTCAGTTATATGACAGAAAGTTTAGAAGAGCTAAGAACCAATACCTCTAGAATTTACATCTGCTTTACTGATGAAAACGTGCATCATGTTCATGCTCCTCCTATCAAGCTTTGCTCTTGTTTGAAATACCTGATAAACTTGAAAACAACATCCTATAATGAAGTTCAAGAACCACATTAAAACGTCCTGGACTACACATGTAACACACTACAAAGCACACAAAGCACTTAGCAACAGTGTTATGCTACACTTACATTGCCTTCTTAAAGCTAACTTCTGGTATAAGGGTTGCCTTAACAGCTAGTGCTAAAAAGAGCATTCAGGTGTTTAAACGGCTGCCTTCTCATTAAAGAGCTTTAAAAAAAAAAATAAAAGTTTTAACACTCACTGCAATCCTTCAGATTTCATGGTTTCGAAACAAACAAGATGAGGTAATTCTTAAGAACACAGGGAAATATCTGAAGATGCTGGTTTCATTTTATTGTGCTTCCTTCCCCTACATTCCACCTCCTCCAGATGCAGACAAGATTTACACAAGTTTTACAGCTACTCATATTTTTTCAGAAGACTTCTGTAAGTCAAAGTATTAAGTCCTCAGCTGTCAAAAGTTAGTTTGAGGGGGGACTAATCTGGAAAAAAACTACACATTTAGTAAGAACAGGCAAAACACACTTTCTTAGTACTAAAATCTTGCAGAAAGATTCTCATTAAAAAAAGAGTTAAAACAGCAGAGTAGCTACTCCTAACCAAGGAAAAAGCAGAGTAAAAACAACTGAGTGTTAGACACTTAAGGGCTCTGGCTTTTAAAATCGATAAGCCACCTCTCCTATTTATTTCAAACAGCAAACTTCCTCAGCTCTGCATCGTGGTACACGCTCATAACTGAGGCTGTGTTGCCCTTAAAGCTTATTATCCATCCCCTTCCAAGTGACAGATCTCTGTGAGCCTTATGAGCATCTCTTGATTTATGATGGCACTGTGTAGAAAAAACCCCAAAACAACAAACCAAGGACAGATATTGTATTAGAGCCTTAGCCTTCCAGTGAGGATGGGTTCCTAAAACATATTACTTTCCAGGCATGTTAAATTGTTTTCGTTCTCACCTAGAAGAAACGCCCTGTTAAGCCTTTTCCGTACACTCACTTGAGACACCTAACACCATCGCAGCTATCAGCATCTGCCCCACCGCCTACGAGCATCCCTGTTCCTCAGACCCTCTCCCTATAGCAGCGGAGACACGTGAGCGAGGTTGTGCTGCGGAGACACGGCAGCTCCCCCGGGAAGGCTCCTGAGGGCGCTGCCAAGGCAGCGATCCCTCGGGAGAGGCAGCCCTGC